GATTTAAAAGTCATTAGTGCTACATTACTTTGTTTTCAAGTAGTTCGTATCACATATCGCGTTCAAGATTAACTACGTTTCATTGAAATCACATTTCCATCATGTTTAATATTTTATCATAGGGTGGGCTATTTCATATCTTTATTCACTATTGTGAATTGTTGATTTACAACTCTGCTGTTAGTCTACACTCTAAAGTATTGTGAATTGTTGATTTACAACTCTGCTGTTAGTCTACACTCTAAAGTATTGTGAATTGTTGATTTACAACTCTGCAGTTCGCCTACGCTCTGAAGTATTGTGAATTGTTGATTTACAACTCTGCAGTTAGTCTACACTCTAAAGTATTGTGAATTGTTGATTTACAACTCTGCAGTTAGTCTACACTCTAAAGTATTGTGAATTATTGATTTACAACTCTGCTGTTAGTCTACACTCTAAAGTATTGTGAATTGTTGATTTACAGCTCTGCAGTTAGTCTACACTCTAAAGTATTGTGAATTATTGATTTACAACTCTGCAGTTAGTCTACACTCTAAAGTATTGTGAATTATTGATTTACAACTCTGCTGTTAGTCTACACTCTAAAGTATTGTGAATTGTTGATTTACAACTCTGCAGTTAGTCTACAGTAAAGTGAAACAAACAAAACAGAATTAAGAATACATTTTAACGATATAACTTTCATCAGATGATTAGATCATGTGTTTCGCAACAAGTTTATTGGTGATCAAACCACCCTTCTATTTGATGCTTGGAAAACGACGCGGAAGCCACAGAAGGTGATTTTAATATTGACAGTCAATTCTTATCATAGTCGCGCAGCACTGCTGTTAAACATATACATGACAAGGAGGACACTTCCAACATCTAAATATTAAAGTTTAAGTGCAGTACACGAGAATTCCACTGAAGTTTTAACTATAGCTGAACTAGAGATTCCGATGTTTCTTCCCGGACAGTTGATCAATATGTTCTGTTTGAATATTTCTATTAAACAACTATCACCGTGAAAAATTTACCAGATAGGAGAAAAACTCACTAAACATGTAGATTATATAAAGAGATAAGAATGGTGTTTTTCCAGATAAAGAGATTTATTCTTGGTGGGTTGGAATCAACCAGAAGTAGTATCAACAGCCAAAGGGATGAAAATAACGTTTGGCTAGTGAAAGTAATAAATGTCCAAAGGACAGGAAATTAAAGACAGAAAATAATTTAATGAAGCAGTAGGGAAGAAAACGATCAAATCCAACTGATGGCTTGTGGTTAAAACTCGTCTTATACTGCTGCGTTAACAATCCCCGTTAGAGAACAACTGATTGAAAACATGTTTTAAAGCATTTAGATGCCCGATAGGTTTGGTGCACTATTAAAATAAAACTGTCTTGTATTAAAAACAACACGACCTGTGTTTTGTGAAACTTAAGTTTGTTGGTTGAATGGCTTCAACAACATATTCATTGTGGGCTGACAAAACAGAACATAATATATGTGTTGAATATAAACAAATAACTGTTCTCAATTATATATATATATATATTGTTTTCATTCATCAAGGCTCTACCTAAACATACAGCCCCTTCCCTAATTTTCAACTACTGAGCAGATGGAGTGCAGCCAAACTGTAGTACTCGCGGCCATCAGGATTAAGTCCGATCTTTTGAATCGAATAACGAGATTGACTGTCACTTCTATAATGCACCACAGCCGAAAGTGTCGGCATGTTCAGAAGCACTATGTCATGAACTCCGTCCCCTTCATTCCGCAGCCCACACGCTACTCACGAGGCTATGCATGGCGCAAGGAAACAATAGCAAATGTGAATAGCTTAAAAAGAAAAATGATTTTTCATCTTCTTTTTCCATAAGCTACATCACTGTTTCGTGTTTAACTGTATCGAAATCACTTTTTTCTTTCACTTTATTGATTACTATTCAATTTAACAAGCAATCAACTCATCTTGTTTTGGTGCTGCAATATTTATCATCACTGCTAAATTTACGTTACTGTGTTTTTTAATTTCGCAAAAAGCTACATGAGGGCTATCTGCGCTAGCTGTCCTTAATTTAGCAGTAAAAGACTAGAGAGAAGGCAGCTAGTGGTCACTACCCACCGCCAAGTCTTGGACAACTCTTTTACCAACGAATAGTGGGATTGACCGTCACATAATAACGCCCCCACGGCTGAAACGGCGAGTATGTTTGGTGGGACGGAGATTCGAACCCGCGACCCTCAGATTGCGAGTCGAGCGCCCTAACCACTTGGCCATGCCGGGCCAATTATGGTAGATTGGGCAGAGAATAGGAGGATTTGATCGTCACTAATAACGCACTCACAGACACAAAGTATGGAGCGTGACTATTTTTTAGGCAACGGGACGCGAACTCTGGATCCTTGGATCCCCATCCGGTACGCTAAAAATTTGGCCACGCTCGGCTTTAAATAGATAGGAAAAGCTGGATAAATCTAATGGTATATGATTTTGTCCAACGTATCTCAAGCATATCTATGTAAACAATGATTCAATATTTTTTTACTAAAAGTTTATACTGATGTGACCATATCACACAATTCCATAATTAAAGTTCTCTTTTCATATAATATCGAACAAATATCATGGAGAACACGTTGCGAAATATGCTCCATTAAAAAAACACAACAGTTTCAGAAGTGAGTGGTCAAGCGTTGGTAGTGGTGCTCGATTATATGTGTGTTTACACGAAGTTAAAGTAGCGTGAAAAATAAATACACAACTGCAACTACAACGTATTCAAAATCTCAGAAAAACAATAGTCGCTAGCTTTCTTTCTTACACACACACACACTTTAATGTAGTATTTCAGCTCCGTAGCATCCAGAGACTTTGGGTTTGTAATTAAGCACAAAGCTACACAATGGGCTATCTGTGCTCTGCCCACCACGGGTATCGAAACCCGGATTCTAGCGTTGTAAGTCCGCAGACATACCGCTGTGCCATTTGGGGGGAGGGGGCGAGACTTTGGGTTTGTAATTAAGCACAAAGCTACACAATAGGCTATCTGTGCTCTGCCCACCACGGGTATCGAAGCCCGGATTCTAGCGTTGTAAGTCCGCAGACATACCGCTGTGCCATTTGGGGGAGTGGGCGATACTTTGAGAAATTTAATATTGGATCTTGCGTACCAGCTTCTAATCAGCTGTGTTTCTTTACTTTTCAGCAACCTTTATTATATTGATAAAGTTAAATCTTCTAACCGAAATGATGGATTTCTGCCCTAAGTAAACAATGTTTTTAGATGTTATTTTATAGAATTTTGACCTGGGTATTATCGTTTACTTAATTTCTGTTTCACATCATACAAAGTAACCAATGTTTATTTTTGAATTTCGCGCAAAGCTATACGAGGGCTATCTGCGCTAGCCGTCCCTAATTTAGGGATGTAAGACTAGAGGGAAGGCAGCTAGTCATCACCACCCACCGCCAACTCTTGGGCTACTCTTTTACCAACGAATAGTTGGATTGACCGTCACATTATAACGCTCCCGCGGCTGAAAGGGCAGAGCATGTTTGGTGTGAGAGGGATTCGAACCCGCGACCCTCAGATTGCGAGTCGAGTGCCTTAACCACCTGGCCATGCCGGGCCAGTAACCAATGATATTTGATTAACATACAAGTAGAAGCTGGTTGCATGAGAAAGGTTTTAAGCACTTAAATGTTTTAGTTAACAGTATGCTTTGAAATTTTAATTTACTACCAACGTGAATAAACTTACTGTTTATACCAAAGGCTTTTCCAAAATAAACTAATGACAAAAGAACAGGAAACATGTAACGATTCTGATCTTTATAGTGTTCATAACATAACATTCTAGGTAGTTAACAATCAAAACTATGTGTATGTTGTTTCGTTAATTGCAAAGAGAGAAGCCACATATTAGCGTTACAAGAGTTGTCAAATGCCTTTCTTATAAAGGGAGTTTCACATCTGGGCCACCAGGGAATGTATTCCGTGTTTAAGGGCAAATGTTATGTTCCCATATTATGTTATGTAATGAAGTAAATCAAGTTTTATATTTTACTGATTGCACACATGTTCTTCCTTAGAGACCAACTGGAGGGCAGTATTAAGATTATCAAATTTTCTCACTTCTCGTTATTTTCTTGTTGGAGGAAAGTATTACTCGTGTGACGACCAGAAAACAAAGGTGATGGGCCTGTAAAAAAAAAAAAGATAATACATATATCCGAAGGTATTATTTATGCCCAACGGTAGAACACGTGGGATTATGTGCAGTTACATGTAGCTCTTTGTGTTGGGAGGATTTTTTAAACAGAGAAAAAGTTAACTTATAAGATACCGTCATTCCTTTCCCCTCTGTTAAACACCCTTTTGTTTAGAGTATATTTAATGAACGCACATCAGGCTTACTGGCGCTGTATAACGTTAATTTGTTTCATTAGATGAAAAACACTTTGCTCAATTGTCTTGACAACGTAAATGGATGTCTAGTGAAAACTACAAATCGACTTGAAATAACAGTTTATTGTGACAGCTCTAGTTTTACTTGGATGTTCATTTAACTTATTTTATTGTGGCAGCACTAGTTTTACTTGGATGTTCAATTAACTTAATTTATTGTGACAGCTCTAGTTTTACTTGGATGTTCATTTAACTTATTTTATTGTGACAGCACTAGTTTTACTTGGATGTTCAATTAACTTCTTTTATTGTGACAGCACTAGTTTTACTTGGATGTTCATTTAACTTCTTTTATTGTGACAGCACTAGTTTTACCTGGATGTTCAATTAACTTCTATTGGCTCTAAGTCTAATAAGTATGTAGAATTAAAAGAAAAAGTAAATATATAAAATAATGAGATAGGTAATGCAAGTGTGAATAACATTTTCTTAGTCTTAAAAACCACGTAAAAAAGTTTCATTAAGCCTTGTTGGAGTCACTAAACTTTAATTTGAAAGATGAACATATAACTTAGCTTTGCTTCTTTCTCTTTCACAGGTTATGGAAATATAGCACCAAGAACAGACTGGGGAAAGCTCGTGACCATAGTATACGCCATTATTGGCATCCCACTGATGTTGCTATATCTGACCAACATAGGTGATATCCTCGCCAAGTCTTTCAGGTATGTCTACAGGCGGATGTGCACCTGTAAATCCAGTGAGCACTATACAAAAGGAAGAAACGTGGAAAATTATCGAGTCAAGCACATCGTGGCACACAATGTCTCTGGAAGACAGAAAGCTTTAGAACATGGTGTCCAAGACGAAATTATCGTCAGTCCTGGAGACGAAGTTAGAATTGAAGCCATTCCTAATAACGAACTACACGAAGATCTAGACTTCCAGAAACCAGGAGTGACTGTTCCCATCACGCTCTGTCTGCTGATTCTAGTGGGCTACATTTCAGGAGGGGCAATAATCTTCTCTCTGTGGGAGGGGTGGGGATTTCTAGATGGCTCGTACTTCTGTTTTGTTACGCTCAGCACCATCGGGTTTGGTGACTTGGTGCCTGGAGACTCCGTGGTTAGTGATCAAGGATCGCAGGAGAAACTGGTTATCTGTTCACTTTACTTGTTGATCGGCATGGCTTTGATCGCCATGTGCTTTAACTTAATGCAAGAAGAAGTAATACAAAAACTACGGAGTTGTGGCAGGAATATTGGAATCATTAAAGACGTCGACGATGAAGCTGACATTGCGTGATAACGAATGTAAATCACATTCGAAACGAAAGTAATAGCAGAAAAAAATTATTTATGAAATTGAAGTTTGAGGGGATTGAATGACCAAGTATTAAATTCATCGGTTTTTTGAAAGACCAATGAAAGTTTTCTATACAGTAATGTGACAATAGTAACATTAACTTATTGCATGCTTTATGGAAACTCTCGTGGGCTTTCTAAATTGCATGATAACTGATATTGTTTGGTCATAAGGTGATCATCGTCCGCCATTCAGGTTAGGCCTACATTCGGCATGTTTAACCTATAGAAAAACAGGATTACCTTTGTTCTAACACCCGTATTACTCTGTCCTCAGTTCTCCAACTACATGGAGAAAATACTATTTATACAAAAATCTTCAAATATTTGGCCTCTCGGTGGTGCCGTCTCGTGTTTCCTTCTAGTTCTTTGTAACGTTTGTATAAATGGTTCATTAAATGTCGTTACTTCTAAATCGTGTTCGTTCTTTACTGATCAGTCGTTAAGTTTTTTTGAAGTTTAGTTTTCGTAAGACCCTCTTCACATAGTTTGATCCAATTTTTTTTACTTTCTCAGTAAAATTGTCCAAAGACAAGCAAGCAAGTAAAATCAATAGTAAATCAATGGATCTTAATCATGTAATAAGACATTCTTCATGTAGTAAGACATTCCAAGAAGCAATTGTACTTTCTATATCGGTGGTTATCTATAAAATGTAATGATATCTATAATTATCAATAGACAGAATGTTAACGCGATGTTATTATATCTTTAGTGCATTACAACAAAGTGGGATAAGTTAGCAATAGCCTATGCACTAATTATGAATATTAATAAACGCTACATTTTGTAGGTGGCATAACAGCCCTTTAAGAAATCTGGCGAATATATTGATAATTATTACTGATAATTAAATATTTGGTTATACAATTTAAAAAAGACAAAGGAAACAATACGAATAAATAAATGTCAAGTTTTACGTTTAGTAATTATAGCTACTAGGACTAAACACATAATTAATTGAAGAATAAGTTTTCATTTTTCTTTGCGTTTTTGTTTTTAAATCGGAATCAACATTTATAAGATAAAAACTCGACGAACATAGTAAGAAAGGACGTACCGGAAGTGCCTCCACGGATTGATTTCATTACCGTTCTAGCACTGATATATTGTATCTACATTTATTTGTTATAATTATTTTCAATATTAGAAATTTTATACCGGATGTGACGTTATAAAGTCGTCTTACTGCCATCAGCGATATCTATTTCGTTGTAATAGTAAAACGACATGTCGGATGTGACGTCATAAAGCCGCCTTACTGTTGTCAGTGAGACACTGTATTTATTTAACTGTAATAGTAAAACTACATGCCGGAAGTGACGTTATCAAAAGCTTTTATTAACACACTGAGATAAAGAACCACTAGCTGACTTTTATTTATAATCTCGTCTAAACGTATTTCTTACAGTCAGATGAAAATGAAAGCGTAGATTTTAGTTCAATACGTACTAGAAAAACAGGAAATAACAACAAAAACAAGCCTCCAATAAAGAATAATTACTAACACCCACGCGATAAAAAATAGTACTGTAACGGAACAAAATAATTAAACCCGATTCTTAAATTTAGGTATTTTAGATTGATGGCTTTCGAAAAATTATCATACTATTTTTATTGTAATATCGTCCACAAGGGAAAATTCACGCTTGTTCAATTACTGGTCACGTGCGTTTACGTAAATGTAACAACCATCCCTTGATGTCTGAGGGCTTATAACATCAAAAATCGGGTTTCGATACCCGCAGTGGACAAGAAATAGGTAACTCATTGCGCAGCTTTGTATTTAACAACAAAACAGATAAACGTTAGTGTCATTCTTTCAACGAATTAATAACAAAGTCAAAACCTTTGTATACAACTATTGTATACAACCTGTATCAATAATACTGTATAACGATACTGTATTCCTTTTCACATTAATTAAATAGAATACTTGTTCAAACACTATAGTTAAACACATCTAGGAAACTAGGACTTGTTAAATTGTCAAAGATCATTCTGTGGAACTGTGATTCTTATATTGAAATACTTAGAGTTGGGCGTGGCCTAGCTGTTAGCGTATCCTGACTGTAAATTCAAAGATCCATGCTTCTCGACCCGTAGCGCTCTGCACATTGCGGCCGTGGATGCGCTATGAGATTGAGAGTCAAATCTTACTATTCGATCAGACAAGAGTAGTCCAAGAGTTGGCGGTGGGTGTTACTGACTAGTTGCCTTTCCCCTAGATTATCAGTTCAAAACTAAGTACAGTTATCCGCGGGTGGCTCTTCTGTAGTTTTGAGCAAAATTCTTAAAAAAAGGAACGGTGAAGTTAAAAAATATTAATTTGAAAGATGAAAACAAATAAAAACACACACAAAACTCATATACTTTATATTACCAAAAGCATGAAGAAAACACGCAACGAAAATAAATTGCCGTATTTCGTAGAGTTCTTTAAAAACTTGTTTTTAGAAGTAAACCTCATACACATATACACACTTCAAATAATTTCAATATATATATATATATATTACTGGAATACTTTTTTCTTCAGATCTTCGTCAGTTCTTAAACTTTCAACTGTTAAAAGAAGTGTAGTGCGCGCCATTAAGTGGACAAAATGCAGCTAAGCAAATAATGGAGAAAGAGACATGTACTAGTATGTACCTCACTTAAGTTACTTAACCACATATCATTAATTCTTTCTTCAATGTTACTTTTATCAACAGTATTTGTTAGAATGTTTAGGGTAGTTTTATTATTTCTGATTTATTATTATTTTCTTGGATGACTTAAACAATGGATAGTCAAATATAGCTCAACACAAGTTTTCATTTCTCAGCTTTTAATTAGTTTAATTTTACCTAAAGTCATAAGTATCACTACTATATATATGTATATTAATTATCTATTAACAGAGATTATTATAACCCTCGTCCTCTCCCGGATGTGGGGGGGGGGTATTGTTTTCATTTCAGTGTGTCTGTGTACCGGGTAATTCGAAAAATTTTCATCGTATTTCCATACAACTTGGTACAAAGTCCAAGTGCTCCCCATCAATCAATTTATTAACCTTTAATGTATGCACACCAGAGATGAAGGTTACAGTGAATATCAACCAATTTCTTTATAAACAGAGACTTAAAAAAAGCGTCAAAACTAGAGCACAACTTGGGATAGAAATAGGATTTTCCCTCCTAGTCCTATATCTTTGAAGACGAAGAAGAATTCTTTAGTGTATATTTAAGATTGAATACTGCAAAAGTCGGGTGATCTCTTTGAGTGCCTTTCCAGTCATCTTTGTAAATCACTTACTCTATAGTTCATTGTATTTATTCTGTTTTTGCATTTACTTGCTTAGCTTCTCTGACATGGTGTTGATTCGTGTTTTATCTTTCATTCTCAGCATTCAATGCTTCACATTGCTCATTGTCAACCTGTTCTTGATATATATTACTTTCTTTGTTGCCACAAAATCACACTCCGTACTTTGGGGCAGTGGATACATTATGAAAGTGACGGCTTGATCCAACCATTCATTTAAAGTTGACCAAGAGTTGGCGGTGGGTGCTGTTGAATATCTGCCCTCTCTCTCTAGTCTGTATGCTCAAAATGACCCCTTGTGTAATTTTGCGCGAATATCTGAAACGAATAAACTTTCGGATAATAATGATTCCTGTAAACTGTTGTATTGTTATTCTCTTTAAATGTATATATATTTGACGCGTATAGTTCCTGAAACACACTGTTAAAACATTTATAATGTCTCTCTGTTAATTTTACTGCAAAGAGAACGTATACTTGAACATTCTGTCATTTAAAAATCCAATATAATCCCATTTACAGCAATCCGTAGAAAAATATACGTATTCATTTTGTCTACTATAACCACAACAACAAAAGGTTTTAGGGATGAAATAATCTGAAAAAAAAAAGATGAAAGAAGGAAAATGATAGAATTAGCTTAATCTCGGAGATTCAGTTTGCATCCCTTTAAGGAGATTTTTCTGTTTTCTTTACTTTTTTCTTTAGTTGACTGATTTAGTCTTCGTTCGAAATTCATATCTTGAACACCGGATGTCTTATTTTTCTAAGAACTCTGTTAAAGCCCCATGAAACGCACAATAATTCACAGAATAATAAAAGACCCATTATTATTTCTAACAAACTAGTATTTTAAACCTTAGATACGTTTTTAATCACAAATGTCTATGTTTTTGTGATACCTAGAAGATTCATTGAACAATATCGCCCTTTCAGCCGTGTGGGCGTTATAATGTGACGGTCAATCCCACTATTCGTTGGTAAAAGAGTAGCCCAAGAGTTGGCGGTGGGTGGTGATGACTAGCTGCCTTCCCTCTAGTCTTACACTGCTAAATTAGGGACGGCTAGCGCAGATAGCCCTCGTGTAGCTTTGCGTGAATTTCAAAACAAACAAACAAACAATCATTGAACAATAACAGAAGTTCGTTCAAAATTAAATACCATGAAAACCCGGGTGTTTCCGAAAGCAAAACTTTGTAAAACTAACACAGGGAAATTATCAGATGAGGCTTGTCACGTCATTGGTTGATATTATGGCTTGAAAACACGGAAGTGTGTATGTTGCATTAAGGCCGAAGGTGGAGTTATTTCTGGTATAAAGAAAACACGTGAAAATTGTGAGAAGAGACATCAACTTCAAAGAAAAAGATATAAAAAATGGGGAATAAATAATTAGAAACCCTGAAAACTAGAAATATCTTTATGCCATAAAATATCAATGAAAATATTAAACATTAGAGACAAATGAATGGTTAAAGTTCACATAAGAGTCCATTAACCAAAGAAAAACAAAAACACGTATATATTAAGTAAAAATTAGAAATAGCTCGTGGTTGCTTATGAGTAAGTAAAGAAAGAATCAAATAAGATATTTATTTTTACTGACACAAAATGTATCGAAACTCGACAATCACTGATGACAGACGTTGACGATTAACGAGAGAGAGAGAGAGAATTAAAAGAAGCCACCCTCCTTGATCTTTCTATCAGCCTAAGGTTTAAAGTTCAATAATATATCAAAACTACGATATAAAACATATATAGTGATTTACTTTATTCAATCCTTCGGTCTGGGTACCTTCTGTATGAACAATATTTTCAGCTGTCACGGCACGTGCTCCAGGTTATGAAGTACGACAAGATTTTCCTGAATACAAATAGAAATTTCCATAAACCACTACGTTTACCTAACAACGGGACATAACCTTTATATATAACCGGTATACTAATAACCATATCATTACCATAAATCAAATAAATGTCAGTAAAATTCGTTTATGTCACTTCCCACTTATGTCTATTCCAATGTAAATCTAAACCTTTCAGAACCATACCAGTCCACTGTTT